TGCAGAAAATGCCGGGGGGGGGAAAGACCCCGAGAGGGGGGGGGGGGGCAAATACCCCTGGGGGGAGCAAATGTCCATTAGTGTCTGAGCTGCCTCCCCCGGCTCTGCCCAGGGAGAGTTGGGCAGGGTCAAAGGTCACTGGGGGCTCCTGGGGTCAAAGGTCACCCCAGGTCAAGGCCAGAGGTCAAAGGGGTCTGCCCCTGGGGGGGGGTCAGGGGTCACCAGGAGGTCACAGAGGGGTCGGGGTGGGGTCATTGTTGGCCAAGGTCAAAGGTGACGGCAGGTCAGAGGTCACCGCTGGGCAGCTCCGGGGTCACAGGTCACCATGGGGTCAACACCAGGTCGTAGATCGAAGAGGTCAACCCTGGGGTCGTAGGTTGAAGAGGTCAACCCTGTGGTCGTAGGTCACCATGGGGTCAACCCTGGGGTCGTAGATCGAAGAGGTCAACCCTGGGGTCGTAGGTCACCATGGGGTTCACCCCGGGGTCGTAGGTTGAAGAGGTCAACCCTGGAGTCATAGGTTGAAGAGGTCAACCCTGGGGTCGTAGGTTGCCATGGGGTCAATCCCGTGGTCGTAGGTCGCCATGGGGTTAACCCTGGGGTCATAGGTTGAAGAGGTCAACCCTGGGGTCGTAGGTTACCATGGGGTCAACCCCGGGGTCGTAGGTTGAAGAGGTCAACCCTGGGGTCGTAGGTTGCCATGGGGTCAACCCTAGGGCCCTGGAGGTCAACCCTGGGGTCGTAGGTCGCCATGGGGTCAACCCCAGGGTTGTAGGTCACCATGGGGTCAACCCCGGGGTCGTAGGTTGAAGAGGTCAACCCTGGGGTCGTAGGTCGTCATTGGGTCAACACCCGGCCGTAGATCGACGAGGTCAACCCCAGGGTCATAGGTCACCATGGGGTCAACCCTAGGGCCCTGGAGGTCAACCCTGGGGTCGTAGGTCGCCATGGGGTCAACCCCAGGGTTGTAGGTCACCATGGGGTCAACCCCGGGGTCGTAGGTTGAAGAGGTCAACCCTGGGGTCGTAGGTTGCCATGGGGTCAACCCTAGGGCCCTGGAGGTTAACCCTGGGGTCGTAGGTTGCCATGGGTCAGCTCTGGGGTCGCAAAGGTCAACCCTGGAGTCATAGGTCACCACCACGAGGTCAACACCAAGCCATAGATCAAAGAGGACAACCCTGGGGTCATAGGTCACCACAGGGCCGTGGAGGTCGACCCCGGGGTGGTAGGTCAGGGCGAGGGACGGGAGGTCGGGGGTCAGGGGTCGGAGGTCGGGGGTCAATCCCGGCGCAGGTTCTTCAGCCGTTCCTCCAGGTCGGCGTCGGCGTCGGCCAAAGCAGCCGCGGCCTCAGCCGCCCGCCCCTCCCCCGACCCCCCCGGGGGGGGCAGGGCTGGGAGGGAAAAGGTCAAAGGTCAAGGGGAGGTGGGGGGGCATCCTCCATTCCCCCCCCTCCCCCCAAAATACCCCCCCCAGGACCTTGAAATATCCCCCCAAAATGTCCCTAA